TGGCTGCTTCACTATTTTCTTAAGAATTAATTTTGCATTTTTTTCTCATTTTACTTTTAATGTCACTTTACACACTGAGTATTTGAGACGGACAAACCTTAATTTCAGCTCTGAAATTTTCTTAATGCTAATTTTAGAAAAAATAACGAAAGTTTATCTTTGTTAAAATTGACTATACAAATCCACATCCATGGCAAAACACTAGACTGAATTATCTTCACAAAAGTCCTTGGGTGCGTGTGTGAATGCACGCGTACACCCGTCACAAGAAACAAGCGCTTCTTAGCACAGGACTGCTTCAGACCTTGAAAGCAACGCCAAACATCAACGCAGACTCCGCAGACTCCGTGGGCAACAGCGGGACATGCTGACCAACAGCTGCGGTGTCTGCGCTGCCCAAGAACTCACTGCAGCTAATAATGGGTCAGGAATACCTTCAAAATGCCAGAAAAGCAAATTTAAAAAAGTCTAGGAAGTCAATTTACAAAAGAGAAGAAAAACCAAGACACAAAAGTGGTTAATGGGGGGCGGGGGGGGCCCTTAGTAGGACAACGGGAAAGTCTGACTCTAAAGACGGTAGGATACAGGATATCCTTTACAGCCGTTGATTCCCACGTGCAGAAAGATGTCCTTGAGTTTAGCAGACGTGCACTCAGATATTTAGGATTCCTGAAAGGGTCAATAAAAGATTAAAGTGTGACTGGGAACGATGACACTCAGGAGCCGGAGGGTGGGAGGAAAATCCTGAATTCAAAGCTAGCCTGGGCTACACAGACACCTTCATCTCAAAAACTAAAAATATGTGTGCATATGTGTGGTGGCGTATAAAGAAAGGGGCGTGTGCAAATGTGTCAAAATAATGAATTAACAATCAAGGAATCTGGGTCAATGTGTTCATTCAGCTATTCTTTGAAATTTTCTGTAAATTTATTTTTCTAAATAAAACCTTGTGTTTAGAAAAAAAAAAACAAAAAGAGAGACCAGCCCTCACAAGGCAAGGCATTGTCTCTGGCTGGATCTCCCTCTCCCACTTTAGAAATAAAACCACAGGGAAAACACTGGGTATCTGCTGGAATCCTATAATGTGCAAACAACAAAAAAGAGATACACTGATTAAAGACTGACGTCAATGTTACGACTCCAAGGCTAACACTGTTCTCTGCTGGGCTACAGTACTATGTCTCGTGAGGGTTTTGCTGGCTGTATTTAAAGCACGCCCTTCGAAAGATGCATTGCCACTAGTACTGAGGAGAGAGTAGATGTTTGTGGGAGGGTCTTATGGAAACCACTTAGCCCTTAGGACAAACTTGAATATTATTGTGAGCCTCCCAGCGAGGGAGAAGGAGAGGAGGGAGGAAGAAGGAGGAAGAAAGGAAAGGAGGAGAAAAACAGTTCTCTGTATTTTTAAAGAAGTGTTGCCGGGCGGTGGTGGCGCACACCTTTAATCCCAGCACTTGGGAGGCAGAGTCATGTGGATCTCTGTGAGTACGAGACCAGCCTGGTCTACAAGGGCTAGTTCCAGGACAGGCTCCAAAACCACAGAGAAACCCTGTCTCGAAAAACCAAAAAAAAAAAAAAAAAAAAGAGAAGTGTCTATAAACGCCCCTTCCCGAAAAGAAATGAACTAAAGCAGACGTTTTCTTTTAATAACAGGATTGTAAGGTGCTGTGGGTCTAAGGCGCTGCATGGGAGACACCCTAAGTGTATTGCAGTTGTATTTCAGCAGGCAAGCGACAACCACCTTCATGTTTCATAGAACTTACCCAACAGACCTGCAGGGCCAGGCTCTATATTTCTAGCATTAGAATACATATTCTATTCCATTCGTGAGGCTGCCACCGCCTTCACCCTGCACTAAGTAGTGAACTGGCTTCTGAAAACTGAGGACCTAAAGCCATGGGAACTCTATTTAGCAATATTGATGACAACTGGCCCTTTTACTTATAGGACCAATAACTGGCAGGCTTGTGGGTGTGGTGGTTCGAAAGGAAATGCTCCTCCCCACAAGGGAGTGGCACTGTTAGGAGGTGTGGCCTTACTGGAGGAAGTATGTCACCAAGAGGCTTTCTCAAGCTGCCCTCAGTGTGACAGCTAGTGGACTTCCTGTTACCTGCAAGAGGTAGCTCTCTCAGCTCCAGCACCATCTTTGCCCGCATGCCGCCACGCTCCCTGCCATAAGGATGGCAGACTCAACCTCTGAAACTGTAAGCCAGCCCCAAGTAAAAGTTTCATTTGTAAGAGTTGCTGTGGTCACGGTGTCTCTTAATGTACATTCACACAAATAAAAGTGAATGTAAAAAAGACGCACGAGCCTAAACAGTGCACCTGCTAAGTGTCTTATAAACATACTTCTCGTCCTCATGAGCCAGAACAGTATAAGAGAAGAACGTTTTATTTAACTGATTTGTGTCTGAAAATTATTTTTAATTGATGTAATATAAATACAAAAAGCTAGGGCTGGACAGATGGCTCAGTGGTTAAGAGCACTGCCTGCTCTTCCAAAGGTCCTGAGTTCAATTCCCAGCAACCACATGGTGGCTCACAACCATCTGCAATAAGATCTGGTGCCCTCTTCTGGCCTGAAGGCATACCTTCAGACAGAATACTGAGAATACTGTATACATAATAAATAAATAAAATCTTAAAAAAAAATAATTAAATACAAAAAGCTCCAAACTCAGGGGTATAAGGAACTTAGAATATGAGAAACTGCATCTCACTGAGTTTTCATCCACCCAGCACTGACCAAGCACCAGCACCACCGACATTGTTGTAACACACGGTGTTTCTATCTTATTTTGTAACAAATACAGGGGTTTCTTTTTTGAATTATTATTGTAAAAGAAACAAATTCAAAGACTTCTGGGTGATTTTATCTGACTTATTTTCTTTCTCATAGATTCTAGTTCTTAAGAGTTTTACAGTTTAATTCTAAGAGGAAAATATGACTGAAATTAAACTCGACCAAAAAGACTCCTCAGGCAATCTCAGTAATTACATACAATTTTCTATATTTTTAACAAGTGATTTTTTTTTAAAGAAATGTTTCTTTATAAGAAGCTGAAGGAATGCTCCTCCACTAACAGAACTGCAGAATTTCCCTCCCAGAGTACCCAAGACTGAGTCTATGGTTTGCAGCCAGGAACTATGTAGAAAAATTTTCATAAGAATTATAAGAAGGCAAAATATAGATATGTAAATGATTAACTACATCCTCATTCTCCCATATACAACACTGTTATTGTTTTCCTAAGACACATGATTTCATGTCTCTCGGCTCGCAGTCTGAAAGTGTGTGTGTACAGTGAACGACTGACCAGGGCACTCTACAAAGTACTCCTGGATTCGCAATCGACACTGACCCATTCATCATGGTTTTCAGCACACATTATGACAATTTTGTATCTTTTAGGCTCACAGGTTGTGTTGTTGTTGTTGCTGTTATTATTTTGGTTTTCTGTTTGGGGTCTTTGTTTTGAGACAGAGTTTCTCTGTGTAGCCCTGGGTATCCTAGAACTCGCTCTGGAGACCAGGCTGGCCTCAAACTCGCTGAGATCTGCCTGCCTCTGCCTCCCGAGTGCTGGGATTAACGTCAAGTACTACCACCACCGCCCGCTGGCTTATTGTTATTTTATAATAATTTTTTTTATTCATTTCACTTGTACTTCCAAATGTCTGTCGGTGGGAAAAGAATACATTTGAATTGTATTTGCTAGTTAGTATTTCATCAGCTACATTTCCAGCCAGGTCCTAAGGAGATACAGTGGATGCATGCACATTTAGGGGGAGAGGCAGAATAATGGTGTTTGAACACTAATCTATATACTGAGCCATCAAGTATTGATGAATACGTCATATAAAAAGTACTAATGGAACATACTCATAAACAAACGTCTCACACAGCACAGGGCAGGACGGGGGATGGTTCCAAGACCCACAGCTGTTCCTACTGGATGGACTTCACACTCAAAAGGCGAGATACACGACGTTGATTACAGTTGTTTCTTCCTGGTTTCTGCCGTTTTTGAGAGTCGTGTTTCATGGCTCTGCTCTGGATAAAGTTCAGTGCCTTGCAGACATAAACACAACCTATTCCACAGAAGGCACTAAAACCTGCGTCGTGCATTAGCTGTTTAAAATAAGCATGCAGCGCAGCAAACCTTCTTCCTTTCTGTCATTACAGACCTGGTCACTGCGTACAAGAGTAAATTATTCTATTAACCGCTAGCAAAGTATATAAAAAAAAAGGCTTAAAGCTTTCTGAGTTTTATAACACAACAGAAATTGGGCAATTTTATAAAATAAACTAATTTCTAATATCTGACTTCAAAGATAAGTGTATGAAATATTTATCTTCTATTTTTGAGTAAAATAATTCTACCTGTATGTAAGGGGAAGAGTGGCCCTCCCATCAGTCCTCTCTCAGAGAAGATATTCCACAGAGTGAATTTCCCATTTACACACCCCAACTCCCTTTACTGAAACTAGTGTAGACAGAAATGCCTTTAGCTGCGTGCCCTTTACCCCACGGGTCACAGGGCCCACACCGATCACCATTTCAGGGCACCAGGGAATATTTAAGACAGCGACTAAAAACGTCAAGTGGTTTGCTCCCACTCTAGAGGGCTCCAGCTAATGGTTAAAAACGCCCCCTCTCGTTTCTAGGTCTCCTTTGCCCATTCGTTAAACCACTGCTTCTAAACTGTCCCCGGTGAGTGAGAAAGTCACCCAAGTAGCCGTTCTGTCAGAAGGAAGAAAAATGCGCAGACTGAGATGAAGCCTGGGCCACAGTGGGACTTAAACACAGACTCGCGGATTAATCAATTTTCAATTAATTCCTAATATATCATTATATCACACTGGGGTTCTTCTTAGAAAAAAAGATGAACAGATAGGTTATTTCCCCCTGTTAATTATTCTTTGTACAGTTTTGTCCAGCACAGCTATCATCTTTAAAATGTCACCATTAGCAGCGAGTGAAGTCCGTAGGACAGACTTACCCGAGGCGCGCCTTGTGAACCGGTTTATAACTGGAGCTAAAAGAAAAGAGCAGAACAATATGATTAGATTTTTTAAATCATATTTATCCTAAAACCAAGAGAGACTCAAGTCAGTTAAATAATTCCATAAGTTCAATATAAACTAGAATGTATAAATAATACAAGAATAAACATAAACCATATAAAATTAAATGGTCAGAATAAAGCATTTACTACCAACAAAAGGAATAAAAATCCCTAAAGAAACATAACGTAAACTCAATGTTTTACCTATCAGATTAATTTCCCCTAAAGACTTTAAATACAAACCCTTTGTTAAAGCACGTTTATGCCACCTAAGTGGAGGACAACAAACCTATAAATGCTGCTAGGAAACAAAGGAGCAGCTACACCAAGGGCCAGCTAAGCTCTGTCCTTCTCACTCTGCTTTGGGGTGGGGGGGGGGCGAGTCTTGAGGAAGAGCTATAGAGAAAGGAAAAGGAACATATAAACAGGCCGTTTGAGCAGTAGACTTTTGAAACGGAAACGAAACTAAAAATGTTCATGGAAAATAAACTCATGCTTAGGTGAAGGATAGTCCACCCTTGCCCGCCCTAGATGGAATAATGTGTAAGACATCCACGACATACAATGTGCACACAGGAAGACGTGGGTGCAGGCTGGGGCACGCCGCATCCACTGCTCTGTCTGCCCACAGCCTGATTCCACTCGGTTCTGGGATGTGCAGACATAAATATATCAAGAAATGGAAAAGTTCTGATGTTCTTTTAAGGGAAATGGATAGATGGGTGATTCACATTACGTAGAAGGGCCAGCATGTGTATTCAAAAAATCATGGGTCTGCTATGCTATGTGTTAACACTTTAAGACTTCTAAAGCAGCAATTACGAAGGCTATTTACGCTACAGAGACAGAGAAGACACAATTCTCAGCACTGTGGTTCCATGAAGAGTATGTTGGCACAGGAACAAGGATTTGGAGAAAGGCTACGTGAGGCAGATGCTCCAAGCTTTAAACTTCATTATCTCTATGGGATTTTGATAAGGAAATGCTACAGTGAAATTTTTTTTTAAAGAAATGAACTTGTGATAGATCTCTCTCTCTCTTTCTCTCTCTCTCACACACACATGCACACACGCACGCGTGTGCGCGCGCGCACACACACACACACACACACACACACATACACACACACACACACACACACACACACACACACTGCAGCAAAGTTTGAGGCCAAAAATCTAGAAACACTGCAGAAAGGAAGGTGGGGGAGGAGAAGAGAGGGGAGGGGAGGGAGGTACTGAGTTCTGAAATTGTACAGTGAGAGGTCAGTGCATTTTCCTCCGTACCAATCTTCACTAACATAAAGGGTTAACCTTGTGAAATAACTCAAAATCCACCTATTAAAACAATACATAAACTGGTGCACATCTTTAATCTCAGCACGGAGGAAGAAGAGGCAGGCAGATCTCTGAGTTCAAAGCCAATCCTGTCTACGTGGGGAGCTTCAGGCCAAACGGCCACATAGTGAGACCTTGTCTCAATCAATCTAATATATGATAGAAAAATTATATTCTCCATATTGTTCAAGAAACAAAATTCTTATTTATATTTATATACTATAGTAATTCAGCAGAAACAAATTACTTATGCAAACAAATCTAATTAGGTAAACTGTTTACACACGACACACACACACACACACACACACAATACCCATGGTTTTTATGAATACTTTAAACCCCTTTTTGTATCCTTAAGAAGGGAGTCCCAACAGAGCCTCCCTCCAAGGCTTACAAGGACAATGACTTGAGACAGCAGAGATTAATCCAACCACAGGAATGCAGGTGAGGGAGCGTGGACAGGTGAAGGTAAAAGGCCAATTACAGCCCTGGGACGGAACACAGACCCCTTGCTCAGTGCCCCAGCCCGCCAGCCTCGTCAGAAGCCACAGTGGCCTCCAGTGTGGTATGTTCTCCAGGCCAGGGGTCTTACGTCTCTCCATTTTTCTTTAAGGAAGATTTCCCACAACAATCCTATCATCTAGAGCGTCTTTTCCTTTTGGAAGGGATCAAAGCCTAGGGTCTTGAACATGACATCCATACATCCCACCATACTCCTATACATCCAGATATGTCTTCTGAAATTGTGGGAACTATTTTAATTGTCAGACTAACTCAGAGCACAGTCAACCTCTGAACACTCCTGACAAGAAGGATAGTCCTGCATCCCAGGGTTGTGTTCTGTACGACACCTGTTATTATTGTATCTTTGTGTGTGTGTGTGTGTATACTGTGTGTGTTCATGCATGTGTGTTGCTCTATAGCAGAGGCCAACCTTCAGTTTTCAAGCTCCCTTTCCACCCTGTTTGAGACAGTCTCTTGGAATTGTTAGTTTTTGCTTTTGTCTTTTTTTTTTCCTTCTACATATTCCAAGCTAGCTGGCTACAAGCTTCTAGGAATCCTGCTGTCTCTGCCTCCCGTGTCCACAGAGGAGCACTGAGATTCCAGGCTCACTCTCACAGGGCTCTATGTGTTTTTCAGGGATCCAAACTTAGATTCAAACTTTGCATAGTAAGCTCTTTCACAAATAAATCAGGTTGCGAGCCCCTGTATGGTTTTTCAATAACCTGCTAGACATTCAAGTCTGCAAGAGTCTATTTGTAACCATCTGAGCCTAGATACTAACTGTGCATAGAAATACACATGACTACTTTATACAGTTTTAATATATAGATTTTCCCAGTAGTGGGCTGTCAAGATGGCTTAGCATCCCTAGAACATGTAAAGAGAAAAGGAAAGAGTAAACTTCATAGAGCTGTCCCCCAACTTCCATGCTTCCATGTGTACTCTCTCTCTCTCCTTCACACACACACACACACACACACACACACACACACCCCATGAACACATATGCATAGAAATAATAGTTTTTTAACTTCCCCAGCAGAACTATCATATGTATCAAAAGATTAAGTTTCCTCCCCCTCCCCCTCCCTCCCCCCCTCCCTCCCTCCCTTCCTTCTTTCTTATATTTTGTTTTGTCTGGAATTTTACTGACATGAGAGCTATCCCATTGCTGTCACGCAGTCTGTGGTATGTAAGTGACCAGAACAATCCATTTGGCCAGACTCCATCCACAACATTCATGTTCTTCAAAGTCCCACACAGGTGGGAGAGTCTAACCATGTTGTCTTCTTCCTCATATGCTGAAGTCCATATCTACCTAAACACCACAAATTACACTCCTTCGTGTGTCCCTCCCTGACAGGCTTTCGAGAGTCTGGATCTACCTTCGAATTGTGAACGTGTAAGCCACGTGAAGATGATCTTCACAATAAATGGGGTCAAGGAATGGACAGTTAACCAGATGGGTCGTGACAGGGCAGGTGGTTTGCCCTGTCAAGACATGTACAGTGTTGGTAATTAGCAAAATTCCAGTCCCTCATATCTATACCCCCATACTCTCTTTAAGAGACAAAGCAACAAGCCATTTCTGCATACACTTGTAGGCAGGAAGTTAAGACATCACGTTTTTTTCTGAAGTTTTAATCTAGTTATCAGCATAAGGGAGGAGACTGGAAGTAAGTGTGCATCTGGCCAGCAATGACCTACACGCTCTCTCAGGAGCCAGGGAGCCAGGGAAGAGAGCAGGAGAAAGGCCAGGGTGGCGATGCATATGTCACTACGACGAAAGCCCACAAAAGAGGCCCTGGGTCGTGCTGCTGGCCCACTGAATCACTCCCATAGAATCTGATGAATTGCTTAATTTTGATTTACAAAATCTGAACGGTAAGATCCTCTTGCTGACACACTGTGTGCCACTAAACTCTCTTTAGTTCCTGTGCTCCCAGGAACCCAGACAACTGTCCTCCTTTACCTAGAGCAAGAGGAAAAGTTCCCACACCTGAAATGAACTGGAGAACCTCTGCCTGAGCGCTTCCTCTGTCCACAGAAACTGCTGTTTTACTCTTTGTACCCGCTGCCCTGGCACGTAAAACGTGCTAAGTCAATACCCACCAGATGGATCGATAAACTGTAAAGTACATAGAGCAAGCCTCTGCTTCTGCTTCATTCCTGGCTGCAAGGGTGGACACAGGCACAGGGCAGGGGAGGGGGGATTCTAACAGTCTCTGCCCCTGAAGGGCTGAACCAAGTCTCTTCAGAGTTCCACAAACAGTTGCTTCCAGGGCTTACCTAACTTAGAAAAACAGGTGAAAGAGGAATTCAGTAAAGGTTTAAAAGCAAGATAGTTCATAAAACAGAAGTCAGTTAAAAGCACAAAGCAAGGAGACCTGTCTTCAAAATGCATGGACACTGCTTTCATCTCTGGGCATGATGCTGCTGGAGACATTCCAAGCTAAACAAATAGGATCTGAATCGTGATTTGTGCATGCTCTCTCTCTTGCATGCTTTCTCTCCCTCTTACTCTCTCTCTCTTTTCACATGCACACACACACACGCGCACACACACACACACACACACACACACTCAGGCACCCCATCTGTACTAGAGGCACACTGGACCTTTTTGCAGAACAGTGTTCATATGCCCTGGAGTAAAATACATTCAACCCTCTTAGATTCCGTAGAATAATTAGCATTCCTGTCCTCATAATAGTTGCTCTCTCTCTTTTTAAGAAATAAACACTTTTTATATCTGTTAGTTAACTAAATAAAAGATGGTCAAATTGTAAATGGAAATGCATAAGCTAATTATTTTTGACAGAATAAATACCCAGTTCAGAATGAATTAACATATATCAATGTTTAAAAAAATCAAATAAAGTTCACTCTTGAACCAAGAAAAAAACTAAAATTTTAAAAGATCAACAAAATATTTTGCCAAGTTGCACCCAATACGTACTGAAGGGCTCTAGTAGACAGAACAAAGTAAATATGGCTCTGGCAGGCTTTACCCTTCCCCCATCCCCTCTGCCTTGCTAAACTGTTAGAATATTATATTCCTAGAGCTAGCCACCAAGGTCTATTCCCGTATTTGGCCACTTTCTTCTCCTAAGGCTGACCATGAAG